TTTTTTTTTTTAATGACATAGAAAGCAACTGAAAATTAAAGAGGAAGGAGGGTAAGAGTATGAGGAAAGAGAAAGTGTAAAATGAACAGTGTACCAAAGAAGCAGAGCAAGGCTACATTTTCTGCGCCCACTGGAGATTTGTAGTCCTGAATTTAAAATGGAGAAAGTCAACAAAATTGTGTTTTCTCTATGCAGGTTCAGCTGCTCAGGTACAGGCAGAAAGTAAATGGGTGGCTGGCTTTTATCCAGTATTAAAACTTTGCCCGATAAACATGAATTAAGAAAACGAGAGCCAAAGGAGCTAAGAATGTTTGCAAGGGAACAGCTGTAATGATGGAACACAAAAATTTATCTAGGAAAAAAGGGAAATGAGACATTGAGGGGAAGAAAAAAGATATTCAAATCATGAAAAAGTGATAGTGTTAATAGACTGGCGGTCTACTTGAAGTAGAAGAACTGATAGAGTAACTACCAACAGTAAGTAGGTACAAGAAAAAATAAAGCAGTATGTTAGACTGTAGTTTAAAACTGAAGCTACATATAATATGAGCTGTCATGAAATGTATTATTAAACCTCTAGGAAATATGTGCTGAAGAACTTTTATGGTCTTGAAAGCAAAATTATTTGTAAGATTATAGTTAAGTTCCATTTTATATTAAATATGGCATATGACAATTTTCTAACATAATTTGTTAACTCAATAGTATATTTATGTTTCAGAATATAACAAAATCAAGACAAAACGAGCCCTCCTTCTATGACCAAAGTCCAGAATTCTGAAGTTTTACAGAATTTATCATTTTGTTTTTCTAGAGACTGAACACATAGTTAGAAACTTAAGACCTGAAAGGAGACAAGATAGAAACCCTGACCTGGTTAGCAACTAGATGATTATAATGAATGCTAGATTTGAGCTCAGATCCCTCAAGGTGTAATTTTTCCAATACCAGCCATGATCCCAAGGTCCTGCACATTAGAAAATGTAAAGCAATGAGAATAACTTTTCTTCATGTCATAGCATCCAAAGTATTTTTTAAAAAGGAAAAGGACGTTGTTTACATATTGGGAGCCCTAATAATAATATCATCTTAGAATCTTATTTTGTACTTTGCTATTCTCCCAATCAATATTTATTACTCATAATGCACATAAAATACTAGATTGTAAGGAAATAATAATACAGATATCGGACCATTGCCCATGAAGAGCTTACAATCTAAAGAGAAAGCATAAGACAAATTTTAATAAGCAAAGCTTAAATGTTAAGAGCGCAAAACAAGGGGTAGGGAATAAATACATTAATTATTCAAACAGAAAATTCTGAAAACTTCTGAACAAGAAGGATATGTACATATATTACCCATACCTAAAGTTATAAAACATTCAGAAATACACTGCAAGAGAAAAATAAGCAAATGGATCCTGCAGTTGCTGCTACAAATAGCAACAGATGCAAGTCTAACTGAGAGCCAATCCAAATTTAGGAGACAGAAAAGAAAGAGGTCAATAAGCAAGCTTTTAGTGATAGGACAAAAATGAAGATGCACTTTAAGTTAAGCTGCTGGTTAGGAGATGATTACCTGAACTTCTTCAAACTCACTCCAGTACACAGCAGTGGCACTCTTGGAGGCTGTATCTGGGAAGATAAGAAGCTACTTTCCTGTGTGTTCCTTTCATTTTCATTTTAAAGCATACATGAAATCCAGTGATGATAAAACTGTATGTCATACTATTGTGTTAAAGGAAAGATAATGTGTGTATTTTGCATACATTAACATAGATTCAACAGCTGTACTTCTATCACAAGGCTGAATAATAGAAAACGCTTATTTTAAGTTATTGATATTGTTGACTATTAAGATTAAAAAGAGTGCTTCATCTGATCATTTTCAGGCTAAATTTACTAGCACTATCACTTCATGCCCTAAGTTTGATTTCACTGATTAGAGTAATTATACAGTTATATATTATCAATAAAATAACTGTAAGCAATACTTAAAATAAATAAAGCTGAATCAGCATACCCTTAGAATATGGCTTCCAAAGCAGGAAACATTCCAGAAGAAGAAACAGAAAAGTTTCAAATTAAATAAATATTGAGATGATGGTCACTCAAATCAAGAATCAAAATATACTGTCTTTCACAGGAAAAAAACTGACCAAAACATTTTAAAATATGGAAAGGAAGAGAACGGGACAAGCCAGAGCAACTATCAGAATGAAAAAGAGCAGAAAGAAAATTTTCAGACCCACAAGAAAGAAAATTTGAAAACTCACATTTATATGTTTTAGTACACACATTTTACTACATAGAAATTATTTTTTTTATAAGCTTTCCTACCTCATTATCTGAATCTTGAATGACTTTATAGAGGGCTGGTACAAGTGTTTTTTTCCGGTGTAAAGTTGCTGCATAATTAGTGATCTGAGTGTCAGGTAATGCCTAAAAGAAACCACCAAAGGAAAACAAAAGTAAACTTAGTATTTGGGAAGTCAGGAACTTTATTTACCATGAATACCTCTCAGAAAGATTATAATAGAGTCAAGTAAGAAAAGTAGGCCCGGGTATAATGGCTCATAGCTATAATCCTAGCACTCTGGGAGGCATGGTGGGGTGGATCTCTTGAGCTCAGGAGTTCAAAGACCAGCCTAAGCAAGGGAGAGATCCTGTCTCTAATAAAAATAGAAAAAAAACAAAAACAAACAAAAAAAAACCCCAAGCCTGGCATACTGGCAGGTGCCCATAGTCCCAGCTACACAGGAAGCAGAGGCAAGAGGATTAGTCAAGCCAAAGATTTGAAGGTTGCTGTGAGCTATGATGCCACAGCACTCTACCCAGGGCAATGAAGTGAGACTGTCTCAAAAAAAAAAAAAAAAAAAAAAAAAAAAACTATTTTATTTTTAATTACAAGATAAGCATAAATTCTGTTTTTATGTCTTATTAAATCTCAGAGAC